GTGGTGGGAGACCTTTGTGCCGACAGATGCTGCGTACGTTCAGTTCTGCGAACGCATGTGTACACGGACGATGCTGAGTTATTTCCAGAAAAGAAAAGGGTACGGTACTACAGGTGGGGCCCTGCAGGAGGTACATACTATCACACAGAACGACCTACACACATATGGGGCTCAAGAGGGCACTACGGCTTTCAATGACAAAATGGCCAAACGTATTGCGTTACAAAACATGAAGGAGGTTGAGTACGACCTCGACTCATTTGGGATCCCTGTGCACATTTCTGGGGACAGTCTTCTGGTGGTTTCTTGGCTGCAGGGTGTCTGGAGGCTGCTTAATCGTACGTATCAGGAAAGGGTCAACAGAATGATAAACCAACTGGACAATATGTGTCAGAAGTTTGGAATTAGGCCTGCCTGTCAGGGGAGGGAGGTTGTAGACCACACATTTAGGGAATGGAACACGCGTGCAGATGTACTCACTCATGAGGCCCGTGTCGGGCCACCAGTGATTCGAGATAGGATTGGGCTCCACGCCCCTCAGTTACAACAGGTGTTTCGCGTCTGTGCCATCAGAGCTGGTTTCGACGGTGGCGTTTCTTGCGACGGCGTGGGGGTCGGGTGCTGGATCGATGTTGGGCGGGTTTCGAGGATCTCAAGGCAACCACTCAGCCATGAGATTATTTGGACGGAGGTGTATAGTGCGGCATTCTCGATCGATCCAACTTCAACAGTGACTGATGCCGAGATCACGGCCGTTGAGCATACGATTGTAATCTTGCCGCGGGTTGTACATGCGAATTTCGGACAGGATGGGATGTGATTGTGATTGCTCATTCACGCCTTCTCATAAGAGTTGGTCACCGTGTGTGTGTACTTGACCTCTCATCCTCCTTATAAGAGTTGGCTTTCGCCTCTGATCGTTTGGATCGTCGAGGCATCCGCCTACTCCCGATACGCCCGCTTCTTGCTTTCAACTAGGCTGGAAAGCCTGCACAGTCGACCGCAAAGTCCGCAAAAAAGAAAGGTTGACGGTTTACCGCCGGCGCCCAGTGTACGCTACCAAGTGGACGCTACCAAGTAACTCGTAGAGCTTCCCTTAGCAAGTCATTGCTGGAAGCTTAAGAGTAATTCCGGGGCGCTGGAGAGCTAGTTGGCAAGAAAAATCTCGACGGACCTGTTGGTGACTTTTGGTCGGTTGAAAATTTTGTTCTCGAAATTCAACCATTCGTTAGAGCTCTAGTATTTTTTCCCGTGATATTCGATCCTATTCCCGCTCGCCATCTCAATCTCAGCTCGATCGGGTACCTTTTACCACCAAAAAGCGCGCTGGCGGGATCGGCCGTTTCGAGTCATCTTGATACGCGCTCGCGGTATATTGGACTTAACTCGAGATGCAGGACAGCTACTGAGCTGGTAAGCACACCTTATCGATTCAGAATGATCAGGCGCGTTTGTCTGTTGCATCCAGAGGTCTCAACTCGGTCTGCTAGCCGAGCTAGGTCCGCAAACCTATTCGTATTATTCGAGTCATCTTGACAAGCACTCTCGGTTTTCTGTATCTAACTTGAGCTATATGACAGCTACAAAGCTGATGTTTACAGAAACCGATTGAGAATCATCAGTCGCGTTCGTCTATTGAATCCAGAGCTCTGAACTCTGTCTGCTGCCCGAACTAGGTCCGCGGAGCTATTCGTATTCTTCGAGTCATCCTGAGAGGTGCTGTCGGTTTTCTGCACTTAACTCGGGCTGCAGGGGGGATGCAGGGCTGGCAATCACAGGAATCGATTCGGAGACATCAGACGCGCCCGCCTGTCACATTCAGAAGTCTGGACTCGGTCTGATACTCGATCTAGGTTTGCCAAACTATTCGTATTGTTCGAGTCATCTTGAGAGGTCGATTTACGCACGTAGCTCGGGCAGTAGGAGAGCTACAGAGATCCGAGGACAATCCAGAAGCATCGGGGGCGTTCGGCTGTTGCATCGAGAGGTCTGAAATCGCTTGGGCTGAAAAATTATTCGTTCTCTGCAATTTTTTTGCCAACATTATATACTGTCAGGAAGCTCTACGAGTCCCCCGTCGGTAAGAATGGTTGACGGTTTACCGCCGGCGCCCAGTGCCTCGTAGGGCCCTTCGTGAACGATGAGTTCGAGGATTTCCGGCGCGGGGTGGAGCTAGTTGGTCGATCCGGCCAGAAAAGAAGATGTGATAACTTTGGGTCGGTTTTGCAAAGATTTCAAAGATATTTGACACCTGATTTTGAGAAACTAGATTTTTCGCATCTGTAGACGACTGTGAGGGCCTCTGCGTCTCAATATGAGCTCTGCAGGCGCACTTTCACTATCAAAAGACTTGGCGAAACCAACTTCATGTCGACATGAAAAAAATAAATGTTCAATTTTCTGAGAAATGCCTCCAGAAGCTCTCTCCTTCGACTCTGAGCACTCTCATGTGTGGAAGGAGCTCTACGAGGTTTCCGGCGGTGACCAGGTTGACGGTTGACCGCCGGTGGCATGCCTCGTAGAGCTCTTCGTTATCGATGAGCTGGAGGAATTTCGGCGCAAGGTGGAGCTAGTTGGTCGACCCGGCCAGAAAGGACAAAGTGACAACTTTTGAGTGATTTCGCAAATATTTCAAAGATATTTGAGCATTCATTTTGAGAAACCAGATTTTTCGCACCTGTAGACGACCGTGAGGGCCTCTGCGTCCAAATATGAGTTCTGTAGGCACATTTCTACTGTCAAAACACTTGGGGGGACCAACTTGACGTGGACATGAAAAAAATACATGCTCATTTTTTGGAGAAATGCCTCCAGAAGCTCTCTCCTTCGACTCTGCACGCGTAGAAGGAGCTCTGGGAAGTTCCTGGTGGTGACCAGGTTGACAGTTTACCGCCAGTCCCAGTGCCTCGTCGAGCTCTTCGTTATCGATGAGCTAGAGGAATTCCGGTGCGAGGTGGAGCAAGTTGGTTGACCAGGCCAGAAAAGAAGATCTGATGATTACCTCGAAGAGCTCGTCGGCATCGATGAGCAGAGAAATTTGGGCGTGGGGTGGAGCTAGCTGGCCCGCCCCGCCCGGGCGGCTTTGTTAAAACCTGGCGTCGGTTTTGGGAGATTATGCGAGATTGAAAATTCGTTTTGGAAACCACTTTTTTTTGTAGCGTGGATCAGGTTGTGGCGCGCCTTTGAATCCTCAGGTTCGTAGCTGTTATACTTGAAAAACGTGGAGGTTTCGTTCGCCGTCGGATTTTTCCTAATCATAGTGGTCTCATGCATTTGATAACAGTTAAAATACATATTCCAGTATTTCTCTGCAAATGTAGTAGGTTATGACGCGCTCTTGAATATCGTGATCTCGAGTTCCAATGTAAACGCAAAATTGATGGAAAATCTTCACACTGGACTGAAATAAAATTTTGAGTTGTTGTGAGATCACTTCACTGAAGCTTTATAATCGATGTCTGAGCACTATTACGTTACTGGAGAGCTCTACGAGGGTCCCGGCGGAGACCTGGTTCACCGTTTACCGCCGGCTCTTAGTTTGGGCCGGTTTTGCTAGGATTTGAAGATATTTGATAGTTCAGTCCAAGAGAGCAGATTTTTCGCACCTCTAGACGACTACGAGAGCTCTACGTTTTAATATGAGCTTGTAGGCACATTTTCACTGTCAAAATATTTGGCGGAACCAACTTCACGTCGGCATGAAAAAATATGAGTTTCGATTTTTTCGAGAAATGCTTCCAGAAGCTCTCTCTGTCTATTCTGAGCAATCTTACGTGCTGGGAGCTCTATTGCCGGCGGTGACCAGGTTGACGGTTCACCGCCGGCGTCAGTTGACGCTACGAAGTGGACGCCACCAATTGGCCAAGGAGGCCCGGACGGACAATGTGGTGACCTGGGATCGGATTTTCGAAGATTGCGAGAGTTTTTGAAACACCTTCTAGAGCTCTTCGTCATCGATAAGCTGGAGGAATTCTGGGTGGAGTCGTGCCTCGTAGGGATCTGGTCGTAGAAGAGCTCGAGGGTTCGGCGACAGGGTGGAGCTAGTTGGCGAAATGTCGAAAACAGACGCGATCATACCTCCTGCGGCTTAGCTCAGCAGCTCAGCGGTTTTTGCAGTTCTCAGAATTCGCTTCGGCCGCTAATTGCGCAGAGAAAAAAGTTTACAGCAATAATTTATTTCATAATTTCGAATTTAATTTCGTCGAAAAGTTCTCCCGAGCGAAGCCAGGGGCCAACTTCGCGTTGACAGTCCAAAAATACAATTTTCCAGTTTTACAGAAATTTCATCAGAAGCTATCTGCTTGCCCTTCTAGTTCTTCCGCGTTTACTTGCACTTCCAGTACCTCGTAGAGCTCTGATGGTAGAAGAGCTAGAGGAATTCGGCGAGAGGGTGAATGAGCTCTCTACAGAGAGTTTTACTATCCAAAAATTAGCGGAAACCGATATCGGAGTGACATCGAAAAATAGAAAGTTTACGTTTTTTGAGAAAGGTCCCGAGAAGCTGTCTGCTTCGATTCTCAGCACTTCCGTGCCTGCAAGGAGCTGTACGAGGTTCCTGGCGGTGACCAGATTGACGGTTCACCGCCGGCGCCAGTCGGTCGATAGAAGAGACAAAGTGATGACTTTTGGTCGGTTTTGCTAATATTTCAAAGATACTTTACAATTGATTTCAGAAAACAGATTCTTCGCACTTGTAGTGGGCTATGACGCGTGCGGCTGTGTGATTCTCAGGCCCGTAGGTGCAGTATCACTATCAAAACACTTGGAGCAACCGACGTTACATACAAACAGAAAAACGTGTTCCTTCTTTTTCGACTCTCGCTCCTGCACGTGTTCTGGAAAGAGTTTCGGCAGTAACCTTGTCGACGGTTTACCGCCGGTTTGTTCGTTTTTGCAAATTTCAATTTTTTATTCCAGTGAATCATGGCGCTTTCGATGGTGCAATCCTCAGGACTCTAGCTGCACTATTTCGATCAAAAGACTAGGGGGGACCAACATTGTGCAATACCGAGAACAACATTGCTTTGTTTTTCAAGCTGGTATTGAGAAGCGTTGTTCTGTTGTTATATGGGAACCGACTTCGTCTATTCAGAGCTCTACGAGGTCCCGGCTCTAGGCTCAAGGCTCAAGGCTCCGCGAACGCTCATTTTCTCCTGCCTGGGGAACCTACGCGAAGGTGAACGTTGAGCTAGCGTGTTGTTTTGCTCTGCTTACGCAACTGCCCATCTTCCTTTACATCCTGCTTGTCATTGTTGGTCTCTCATATCCATTTCTCGTTGCGGTTTGGTGGTGGCAATTTGTATACGCTGACTTGTTCCTCGCTGCCTACAGTGGTGCTCGTAAGTCTCTGTTCTTTCAGATCTGCCTTGAGTGGATTGCATATTGTTCAATTTGCAGTATTTCATTGTTGTGATCTCTCAGGTGTCCTCACACATCTTCCCTCATTTTCTGCCATATACCTATCATTTGTGGTCTTGTTTGTGCCAAATGCCTCATGTGCGGAGTCTCGCATTCAGGTGTTTGCGTCGGGCTCGGGCTTGCCAACTTGGATGGGTTCGACCGAATTGTCCTCTTCCGTTGGTGCTCGAAGGCCTAGTCGCCCGTGACGCGGTCTTGCATGCAGAGTTGGATGCTCAGGCTAATAAGTTGTTGACAGCATTACTCCATCCCTCTGATAGCTGCCCGAAAGTTGATTCCGTTGCACTTCGCGGTTTTTCTTCTGCTATTGATGCTGGGGTCCAGGTTGACGAGGTCGAATATGCTTCTCAAAGTATTCGAGTATTTTCAATTGATGCTCGTGTCCAGGTTGACGAAGTGCACTGTCCCTTTCAGAGCATTCGAGTGTCCTGAATTGATGCTGATGTCCAAGTGCATTCTCAAAGCATTTGAGTGTCTTCAATGGGTGCCGGCGTGCAAACTCAGTTCACTTGCGAGGACGCCTGTGTGCAAACTCAGTGCACTTCAATGGATGCTGGCGTGCATACTCAGTTCACTTTGAAGGACGCCTGTGTGCAAACTCAGCTCACTTTCCAGGACGCCGTCAAAACATGGATTGACAGGAGCACTGCCCAGAAGGGGTTCACCGGCCAGATTGCGCTGCAGTATTTAACCCAGGGGCTTGAATTATTTGTAGACCTCATGACAGAGCCAATGACCATCCCAAAACATCATGTATCATTTTGGTTCCATACTTTGTTCAACCTCACGGATCATGTTCACTCGTTTCCGGGAGAACTTTTGGATTGTCTCAAATCTCACCGTTTCGTGACGGGGAAAATGGACCGTGCCGAGTAGGCCAGGTTTAAAGCTCCAGGGTACATTGTCGATTGTTTCAGTTTTGTTCCAGACGGACTCTTCGAGAGTGCCAGTCGCGCAGACCCGCGGGGACTCGCAGCAGACACCCGGAGACTACAGCAAATGTGGGAGCCCCAAGAGCTCAGAATTTCGTCGCCACGTGGACGAATCGCCTCTCCGTCGGGGTCGTCGTCTGTCCGTGTCGCTTCGGATGTGATAGCCAAGACTGGACATCAAAAGTTGGTTCCCGAATCTTCCCAAACCATTCGAGTTTCTCCCGATAACGGTGGGAGCTCTAGAGGTAGCCGCAAAGGCAGAGGCAAAGGCAAACGATAGGGCAGCTTTGAACATGATTGTCTGCATGCATTACCTCTCTGTGTATTGTACGCTGTATTGTATTGGATTGTTGATTGTGATTGCCTCGCGTGGTCTTTTGATTGTTGATTGTGATTGCCTCGTGTGGTCATTCTGTGCATTGTTTGAGCTCTAATAATTCAGTGTGTGCATGTTCAGTTCTTGGCCAGGTCTCCTGGCTCTCTTGTCGTAGTTTTAGTTTTGCCTCTTCAGTGTTCTCACTGTTGTAGGGTTGTACGAGCCTTCAGCGGCGGAGCGCATCTGCGATGCTCTCCCACAGGTTGTGCGAACGTCTTTGGTCATGCATGTTTCTGTTTCTCTATAAGAGCGGACTGCTTGCTTGACAATTTTGAGGCTTCGCTTCGCCTGAGACTTCGTTGGGCCTGGCCTCAGTGGCCAAGATGGTCCCAGCAAAGACGCAACAAAATCTGGTTGACGGTTTACCGCCGGCTCGCAGTTGGTCGACCCGACCAAAGAGACAAAGTGGTGACTTTGGTTGCTCGATATTTGACAATTCATTTTGAGAAAGCAGATTTTTCGCACCTGAAGTGGGTTATGCCGCGTCTGCCAGTCGAATTATCAGGTCTCTAGCTCCAATAACAACATGAAAACGATCGTTGTGCCAAAAGGATTGCTGGGACGAAGCTACATGGAGGATTAACCCTGGGGTGCTGGCTTTACAAATGAGGGGGGTAGTCCGTGTGTAGCACGCTGGCTGACGGGCAAAAACAAATGTTGGAATGAAATATATAGCCAAACAGTAGCTGCCATGCACAATACACTGTATTCCGTGTGTAAGCCGTGATATCTGGAAATCGGTCTATCGGGAGGGGAACACAGAGGCGGACCACGAGACGCATGTGGTCAGAGAAGGGCTGACTACATTAGATGTGCGGTGGGATGTCCATACACTTTTTTCTTTTATTCGTTCTGGTCAATATAGTGTACACCCGGTGAGAGGCTCTTTTGATGGTGGCAAATGTGAGTTGGGCACATCATGCGGTTGGGTGATCGACATCTTTATCTTTTTTTAATTTGCCGCCTGCTTCCCTCCCCCCTGGCCTTCCTCCTAAGCGTTGGCACCTCGGAGTTGCCAAGCGTGCTTTTATGCTACCCTCCATTGTGCTGTCACCCAGGCGGAGCTTGCTGCATCTGAGAGTTTATTGTCGGGAGTTGTTGATTTGTGCACGCATATATGTGGATAGCTGGCTTTTGTATTTATGACGGAGTGCCGCGGGCGTGCATCGCGTTATGCGCATCGAACCCGGTAAAATACATTGTTTTCGGCCCAAAAGGACGTGTGCAGATTTATGCTTATTTTGGCACGAGAATTGCACATGGCATTTTCGCACGGTTATACCGTGTTTTACAATAGATTCGTCGCGCCAGAACTGTGGCCAGCGCCGAAGTCCGTCATAATTCTTTCTGCCTCGGGATCGTTCCTTGGGTTTCTTTAGCAGCTTGATTGGGCAATTTTGTGCCATGGCGGTCGTAATTGTCCGACATATTTGTCGATAGCACACTTCTCTTGCAGCTTCGCTGCATAATCTTGCCGCTTTAATCTTTCATCTTCGCTGCCCTCGTACAGCTCCGCTGTTAGGTTCTCTGTGTCCTGGCCTGCTCTCAAGGGAGCTCGAATCGGCCAACGCAGACTCCGCAGATCAGGTGTCGGTTCACCGCCGGCGCCAGTCCATGCATTAGTTTAGAATATCTAGACGCCTGAACTCGGTCTGTCATGAGCGTTGGGGCCGAACAACTATTGATACTCTGTTCATTTTTCAGAGATGGTGATGGTCTCCTTTACTTAACTCGAGCTGCAGATGAGCAGCAGAGCTGTTCGGCACAGCAATCGGAAGGAAATCAACAGGTGCAGACGCCAGAACTCGGTCTGGTATGTCTATTTTGACAGACGAACGCGGCAGAACCCACTCCACGTACCTCGTAGAGCTCTTCGACGAGATGAGCTAAGAGGAATTCGGGCGCAGGGTGGAGCTAGTTGGTCGACTCGGCCAGAACGGACAATGTGGTGACCTAGGGTGGGTTTTTCGAAGATTGTGAGAAATTTCAAAGCTCGTTTTGAGAACCCAGATTTTTGTTCCCTGCAGTCCATCATGGCGCGTTCGATGGTGCAATTCGGGCTGTCGGAACCCAGATTTGCGAGGATGTCTCAGGCGAAACGGGCTGGACCACCTCGCGCGCGGCATCTCGGATCCCAGAGTTGCGACGATGTCTCGGGCGAAACGTGCTGCGAGGAAGTCTCAGGCGAAACGGGCCGGACCACCTCGAGCGCGGCGTCTCAGAGCTCCGAGTTGCGGGGGCCTCCTGGTGCCTCTTGGGGCCTCCTGGTGACCTCCTGGGGCTTCCTCCTGGGCCTCCTGGACCCCACCTGGGGCTTCCTGAAGCCTCTTGGGGCTCCCAGGGGGGGATATCTAACATGTGGCCGTCGGGCCCCCCCCAAATGCACAAGAGCAGAAAACATCAACGAATCGACGCCGGATGTGTATCAATTTGACACGTTCTGATAGGGGGGCCTCCTGGGGCCTCCTGGGATCCTCCTGGGAATCTCCTGCGGAGCCCTGGGGCCTGTCCTGGGCGCCCTGCGGCTTCCTGAAGCTCTCCTGGGCCTCCTGGGGCATCCAAGGTCCCAGGGGGGATATGTAGCATGTGGTCTTCTGGGCCCCCAGGCTGGACCACCTCTTGCGAGGCATCTGGGAGCTCAGAGTTGCGAGAATGTCTTGTGCGAAACAGGCCGGACCAACTTGCGCACGCCCTCTCGGAACTCAGAGTTGCGAGGATGTCAGGCGAGACGGGCCGGTGTCTCGGGCGAAACGTGCTGCGAGGAAATCTCAGGCGAAACGGGCCGGACCACCTCGAGCGCGGCGTCTCAGAGCTCCGAGTTGTGGGGGCCTCCTGGTGCTTCCTGGCGCCTCCTGGGGACCTTCTGGGGCTTCCTCCTGGTCACTTTGCCTCCTGAACTCCACCTGGGGTTTCCTGAACCCTCTTGGGGCGCTCCCAGGGGGGATATCTAACCTGTGGCCGTTTGGGCGTCTCAAAATGGAGGGGGGGCAACAAGAGCAGGAAAAATCAACGAATCGACACCGGATGTGTATTAACTTGACACGTTCTGATAGGGGGCTTCCTGGGGCCTCCTGGGAGCCTCCTGGGAATCTCCTGGGGACCCCTGGGGCTTGTCCTGGGCGTCCTGCGGCCTCCTGGAGCTCTCTTGGGCCTCCTGGGGCTCCCAGGATCCCAGGGCGGATATGTAGCATGTGGTCTTCTGGGCCCCCAGGCTGGACCACCTCTTGCGCGGCATCTGGGAGCTCAGAGTTGCGAGAATGTCTTGTGCGAAACAGGCCGGACCACCTTGCGCACGGCATCTCAGAGCTCAGAGTTGCGAGGATGTCTCAGGCGAGACGGGCCTGACCACCTCGCGCAGTGCATCTCAGAGCTCAGAAGTTCGAGGATGTCTCAGGCGAAACGGGCCAGATCACCTCTCGCGCGTCATCTCCGAGGTCAGAGTTTCGAGGATGTCTCAGGCGAAACGGCCCGGACCACCTCTCGCACGGCACCTCGGGGCTCAGAGTTTCGAGGATGTTTCAAGCGAAACGGCCCGGACCACCTCTGACGCGGCGTCCCGGAGCGCAATTTTTTGAGGATGTTTCAGGCGAAACGGCCAATCCCCGCCAACTCAGAAACGAGAGTTGTGAGGATGTCTCAAGCGAAACGGCCCGGACCATCAAAGTTTTGTGAGGATGTCTCTGCTCCGACTTCCCTCGGCCGGAGTTAGCTTCTATCACAACAGCACCCCGTTCAGCAAGCTGTTTTGGGAAAAAAAGAAGGTGCGCGACGCTATGGCGAGAACCACACTGTGAAAACCATCCCGCCTCAATCCGTGAAGCTTTGGCAACTAGTGTAAAAGAATATGCGCGGCGCTAATGGGAAAACCACGCTTTGAAAACGACCCGCCCTCAATCCGTGACGCTCCTGCAAAGTTTGAAACGAATGTGCGCGGCGCTAATGCGAGAGCCGCACTTTGAAAACCACCCGCCCTCCATCAGAGGAGGAGGAGGAAGAGGGGGAGGAGGACGAGGAGGAGGAGGAGGAGGACCAGGAGGAGGAGGAGGAAGAGGAGGAGAATGAGGAGGAGGAAGAGGAAAAAGACGAGGAAGAGGATGAGAAGGAGGAGGACGAGGAGGAAGAGGAGGAGGAGGAGGAGTAGGAGGAAAAGGAGGAGGAAGACGAGGAGGACGCGGAAGAGGAGGATGAGGAGAAGGACGAGGAGGAAGAGGCGGAGGAGGAGGAGCAGGAGGAGGAGGAGGAGGAGGAGGAGGTGGACGTGTAGGAGGAGGAGGAGGAGGAGGAGGAGGAGGAGGAGGAGGAGGAGGAGGAAGAGGAGAGGTGGAGAGTCGGCAGGAAGGGGCCGCATATGAAAAGGCTGTCGACAGAGAACGGCAGGCAACGCCGCGCACACTCAAACGCATTGTTACTTGGCTGCGCTCACGTTCAGGCTCGCCCGCGCTCAGGCAGTCACAGCGCTAAGTGCCAGAACATGAGATGCACATGAGGGGTCTCCACGTCGAGCCATGTTTTTTTGGAATACTTCAATGGCCCTGCGGGCAGCTCCGGGGGCCTTCGGGTATCTCTTGGCTGATCAGGTGTCGTCCGGACCCCTGGAATGCGAGGGACGCAGTGGGTTCGTGTCCTGCTGGCGCGGCGGCGATTCCAGAGCGGGCGCTCAAGGGTCAACGCTGCTAGTGGCCCAGGATCGGCCCGTATGGACCAATTTGGGGATCGAATCACCGCCGATCGTTCAATTTTGAACGTCCCACGCGAAGTCAGAAACCATACGATCCTGCCGTAGTGGAGGGTGGGAGTGGGCGGGAGGGTGGAGTGGCAGGGGGCGTGACAAAGGCGCTCAGAGGTGTTTGGAGATTGAAGACGTTGTCCAAGCGGTAGTGAGGTTTTCGCAGTGCCTCTAATGGTCTGGGAGATGTTCGGAGGTGGTGGAGAATAGCATGGGATGTGTCGGAAATTCTTCAGATTCTCATGATACTCATGTTCAGATGCTCATGCGGATACAAGTAAAGGCCTGGGTGGTCGTCGGCAGTCTGCGAGGGTCGAACACCACTTCGATGAAGTCTGCCGCAAACGCAGTTTTTCCACCCATTGCGCAGCGAGCCTGTCGCAGGCGCTGACTTTTCGCCAAAGCAATGTGGATGGGTCGTGGGTGGATCGCGGGTGGGTGGCGGTCGGATCGCAGATGGGTCGCGGGTGGGTCACGGGCTGGTCGTGGGTGGGTCGCGGGCGGGTCAAGGGTGGTTCACTGCTGGGTCGCTGACGAGGATGACGACAACACAGCAATTCAAACAATAACAACTCTTGCCGTGGAAACCAAGTTGACGCACGCACCCCGGGATGGTATGAGAACGTTTGGCACCCTCACTCTGACCTACGCGGTTCAAAGTGGACGTGCAGAGCATCACAGAGAAAAAGGTCGAGTAGATGCGGGTGCGCGCAAGCGTGCGGGCCTGTTCGGTTGAGTCCGCCGACTCCCAGAACCAGGACGTGGAGTTTTCTCTCACCGCGACACAGGCGAGTCCAATCGTGGGGGCCAGGATCATGTATCTCCTTCTGGGATGCCTGAACGCGTCGGGCAAACAACACGCGGCGGCCGTTTTTGTCCTGGCCGTCTCGAGGTCCCAGGGCCTGCAGAAAACGACCAGTGATGCAGATAAGTCTGCCGAGGCTTGCCAGCTCGCTTGTAAGACCTTGATGTTCTGCTTCCACGGCTCGCCGCGAAACGGGGCAACATGTTAGGGTCGAGGCGTTCCGCCGTCGGAGCATCCGTCCGAAGTGTTGGCAGGTCTGGGCCGGGACGTCAGCCGCAGGCCGTATGATCCTCAGCCGTGCGCGTTGGCAGACAACGACCAAACGGAGGGCGACGAACATGTGTTCGGCATCACCCAAACATCCTGATGCTACGTGTGCGTCTGCCCCACAGGGGCGACGCGCGCGCTCAGAAGTCTTATAGTATACGTTCGGCGGGCGCTTGCTGGCAATACCGCAAGGGTAACGATATACGATGCCGTGGTCGTATTTTGTGGTCGGTTCGTGCGTGCGGCTCCAAGGAGGGGCGCATAGTACTGGTATGTCTTTCTGCGTCCCGCTTGCGGGAGTGGCCGACCGCCATGCCCTCTTGTCCTGGTATTCCTGCCAGTCCCTGCCAGTCCCTGACTTGTGCTCGCTCGCTAGCCTGTCAAGTTCGCCTGGCGCAGCTCATCGCCGTGACTCTCAAGGCGAATGCAAGTCTTTGGAAACACGCCAGCGAAGGCACCGCCTTTGGGAATGACCTCGGTCTGGTCGTCCGTTTTTCCACCGACGGGTGATGCGAGATTTCGACCGAGTTGGCCAAGGCGTTACAGAAGGTTCGTCTCACCTCAGCAGCGCTCCTGAACCAGAGAAACGTCGCGTCCCCGCATCTGGTAGACGTTGTGTACACTATCCGCGAAGGGGTGCTCGCGTGGAGTGGCTGGCGCTCGGTTCGACGCTGCTCGCGATTCTGGCACCTGCGCACGGGCTCGGGGGATTTGCTCGGTTCGGCTGTCTTCTCGTGCTTGCACTGGCATTCGTGGATCTGCTAGGCTCTGCGACGTATTCAGCTACCTCTATTTTGATTCGGGGAATCTGCTTGGTTGGGCGATGTGTTTTGAGTATTTTGAGTAGACTTTGGACGGTCGTAGTCTGATGGATCGCCTTTTCGCAAGTGAATGGTGTGTTTTTTCTTCTGTAATGTACTGCTCGTCCCTGGTCCTGATGGCTTCACAAAGGCTCAACTGCTTACCTTGCTGTTGGCTGTATGTTGTTCGTTGAGGCATCGGGGAAGTACTGCAAACATTGATATGGAATCGATAGTGAAGTTCCACAGAAGGTCTTTCCACTCTCTTTTATGCGAACACGGTCCCCACTACATTGTATGGTTGTTCCCTTGAATAAGATGATGGTGCCGTTGTTCTATAGACAGTCCCGCTCTGGTTCCGATGCGTGGTCAATCTTACGTCGGAGGTGAAAGACGCGTTGAGGTCCCCTTGCTCTGTTTTTCTTGCATTAAAGCTGTGAGGCCCGAGGTTCTGCATTTGTCCCGGCGCGCTTGTCTTCGGGCGGCGCTGTGGGGCAGCTCGCGACAGCCTTTTTATCTCCTGCTGACTCAGCTTCTTGCACTCCTAGAGGGCTAATCTCTTTCTCTCTCTCTCTCTCTCACTCCCTCCCTCCCTCCCCTCCTTCTTCCTCCTTCCCCCTTTCCTAACTTTCTCTACGTCCTGCCCGCCCATCTTGCCACCGTTTGTCTGCCTGCTGTCTTTCCCGTTTGCTCTCTCGACAACGTCTGACATTGTTTCTCGCTTTCGAAGGACGGGGATGCCCAGAGTTGTCTGCCTGGGCAGCCGATCAGAAGATCGACACCAACGGCTTGGTGCGCAGTGCCCTTGAATCGCTATGTACATGCAGGTTGGTGGGCCGTGCCCATGCACCTTCGACGCACACTGCACCCAGCTGCTGTAGATCTGCGCAGCATCCGACTCAGCACTTCTCTTCTCTTGACACCCGCGCGGTTGCGCCCGCGCAGGCGCAGAGAGCCTGCCAGCCCGTATCGATCCGCTCCGACCTCTGCCCGCATCATCCTGGCGTGAATTATTCGCTCTTGGCCTCCCCAGGGTGAGGTCAATTTCGATCAGTTTGATCCGATTCGATATTGATCTCGGCCAGCCCGATCCGATTCGATTCCGATATTCTGGCGATCCGCAGCCGATCCGATTCAATTTCGACTCTGTGCCGATGCAGCCCGACCCGACGCAGAGTTCGCTTCGATCCGAGCCTGTTGAAAGTCCACGAGGCCTGGCATCATGCCGTGGGGAGCGGCGAATGCTGCGGCTGGTGGGACGAAGCCCGCCGGAGGCGCCCCCGCTGCGGAGAGGGCTGGGGAAGGAGGAGAGGGGAAAAGAGGGATGGGTGGACTCGCCCCCCCCGTGGTTCCTGGGAGTCGGCACCGGGGTCGTTTCCATGACTTTCGTGCGGACGTCCACAGGGGGGCAATGAACGCGTGGGGGGGGATCGAGGAGTGTGGAAAGGTGGCCCCACAGTGGCCCTGCGCGGCCCCTGGCCTGCCACCGCGGGCCCAGAGGTACACGGAGGGTGCACGTTTCTGCACCCCACGTTGATTACTTGCACTCCCTCGAACGAACACCCGATACTCAGGGGGCGTAGGCGTCCGCCACGTCTTCGTCGGGGTATGACCTTGCGGGGAGGCGAGGCAAGAGATGGAAGATGTACCCGATCCGTGGTTCCTGGAAGTCGGCG